TGCATTATAAATATATAGTTTGGCGTCGATAATACGTTTATAGTTCAATATTCGTATAACCACACAAGTGTATAATACGTGTCACTTACTGGGGTATTTTCCGCGATGTTTCCGGACGGCGGTGTTGCTGCAGGAGTCAGGAAATCCACAGGAGCAGTTGGATCATTAACTGTCATAATAAAGGCAATATTACTTTCGAACAAATTGTTTTCAACGTTTCAATTCTCATGTTATGTTTTTCAATTCTCAAATATTTTATTCATTCAATGTTTCGCTGTTTCTAAATAGTATATTTTCAATTGCAAGAAAAATAAGCTAAGACTCAAATTCGCATAAATAAAATCGAAGAGAATTAAAGTTTAGAAATTCGATGACTTACTTGGCGCGGGTACCAACACCTGCGGGGATGAGGTAGCTATAGGTACGAGTGGAGACGTCATGGGGGTGGCCACATTAGACGATGTCGCGCTACCTTTGGATTTTCCACCGGGATTCATTATGTCTACGTAGTTGGCACGCATACTTCTACCCCTTTGCAGTTTGTACATATTACTACCAGTAGGCAATTTCGAAATATCCGCCGCTAATGTATCCTCGTTGTGTGCACTTGGTAAAGACGGTTGTGGAACACGCTCCACTGCCGGTACTCGAAAACTCATGTCAGCTGTTTTCGGCGGTGGGGCCAATGTCGTGGTACCGCTGTCGCCATCCTCATCCTTGTTCATCCACTTCTTAGCGACTGGATCCCATACAATCTGTAACACAAACGACGACAGAGTTGATTACAAGATTTCACTAACAACTTTTTCTCCACTGTTTGACGTTCGTTAGGAAAAAAATCTAGCTAACAAATTAGAGGAGTATTAATAGCAACTTGTTAGTCAACAATTACTCAATAAACCTGGCATTATACTGGCCTGTTTATCGTCCATCTTATAAGCATTGTTGTAACCATAAGTAGCATTCTATTACCAAAAGTATCCGCGCAAGCCCTTAACGACATAAAACATAAAACCGTCCGTCGTAATTTTTTAATGAGCTGGAGGAAAATACAAAGCAGTAGTAAATTCTTACCGTTGGATTGCTATCGTCCGGTAATATCATTTGATTTTTCGGCTTGGGCGCGAGTTTACTGAACAAACCACCGAACCAGGAGCCACCACTGTTGGAGGGTTTCTTTTCAGCCGTTTTTTCGGTTATTTTCTTCGTGTCCGCCGCAGATTTAACAGTCTGTCGTGGTGTCTCAAGTGCATCTAATTCTTCCAATGGATCATACTGTTTACCCGTTGACGGTGTCATAGAGATTGTTGGCTGCGCAGGCTGAAATAAAATATACGATTGATCATCGCAAGCTTGTTCCAGCAAAGTTTATCACTATTTACTGTAACGATGCGAGTTCGCCTATCACATGCTAATTAAAAGTTTTGATCGCACTCTACAAAACACTTAAAAAATATGCGATACTCACAAATGTATTACAGTAAAAAATGAGAAACTTTGCTTACCAGATTTATTTTAGGAATGATGTCGCTCTATGTTGAAATGTTGGGCGTTCAAAATGTACAATCAGAAAGAAGAACAAAATCATATTATCTTAGAAATCAGATAAACGCAAAGAATGCAGATAAATTAATTATTAGAAAAAGGATTTAGAACTTAGAGGCCATGTGGTAAATATTAAACTGTGGAAATAATTTTTAATTTTGTGACAAGATCAATTTTTTAAATCCACATTAATTATTTTTTAATCATTTTAATGAATATTACATGACCTCTAAGTTTGAAATCTTTGATATATGCAACCTACATCTTTATATAATAATCAATTGTGTTTATAATCTTAAGAAGTTCAAGAAAATGCATTATATGACAAAACTTTATTATGCGTTTGATGCCAACAGTAACAATAGATATATATACATTTAAACAACGCTTAAAATATTAGAACTTTGTAAAATTACATAATATTAATTAATGACACAAAACAGGATTCTTTATATCTCTATTTCATCACAGCATATGGATTCTTTCCTCATTAGTATTTGAATATTTTTCATATAACATGTAAAATTTGACTTTCGAGATAATATGTGAACACAATCAAGTATATAAATTGATAATTCTGATTTTCAATAATTTTTTTAAATATTTAAAAATATTATTTACTATATTATAAAAATTAGATATTGCCAGATTAAAAAAAAATTTTTTTTTGTTAATACTTGAAGAAAATCCAGTTATATTTATCAATATAGAATTACTATTACATCTTCTATCTCTGTGTTTAACATGTACAGAAAAACTTGGCCACAATTCTATACGCTTACAGATTATTTTTTAATCGCATTTTGTGGGCATATCAATGTCATAAGTTAAAGACGTACTATTCTTAGCAGAAGTATCATCGACTAGACGATTATTATTTCTAAATCTAAGAGGTAAATCAATCGGATATGTGCCACCGAAAACTAGTGGCTTATATCTGGACGATTCGGAAATATTTTGCCCGGTACTATCGTACGACCACGCGTCTACCGTATCGCAAATAACATCCTTTCTACGAATATGCGGTGCAACTCTCATAACTTTCTTCTCCTCGAAATTACAATACTGTTTTAAGGTTTGTGCTTCGTTACTGAAAGCAATGTGACTCTCTTTGGTTTCGAAAGATAAGTCCGGCGCTAAAAGAGACTCGAGTTTCAATTTGCTAAATTGAATATCTAGATCTGTAGTTTGAGACACGGATAAATTTCCCTTATCTGATCTGTCTGGCGCCGTTTCTTCTTTATCCTCGGACGGATTCTTTTTCTTAATTTTACATTTTAGGAATACCGGTGGTTGCGAGCACGGTGGTTTCGAAAATATAGGATCGACGCGTTTTCTATCTTTTGGATGTACTTTGTTGTTTGGTAAAATTTTTGGATAGCTCATAGTCAATTTGGGATATTTCTTACGAGAATTTGGAACTTTCATACTGAGATTATCACTAGACAGATTAAAGAATGTAGGTACGTGACCAGGAGTATTATTATCAAATGCAGAGGCGATATACGGATTTGATTTTACAGACACATTTCGACGACGTAACAAATTAGTACCGGCAACATTTGGTAATCTTTCAGGATCGAAAATATTATCCGAGGTAAGTCCGCAATTACTTACTTCAGGTGTGGGTGTTTTGTCTTCTCTTTCCGTCTGTCGGTGAGCAAGCATTAAAGAAAACAAGTGAAAATGTTAATTGTATAGACTTATATACTAGACTGTACGTTTCCATTGGAGACACGAGGACAACAATAGTAAGAAAAAACAATAGTTATTGAATATACTTTCTTTATTCAATTGCGTATTATGTGACAGAGCATCTAATCAAATATTGCCCTATGTCACTAATGTTGTCTTTCCAATGGAAGTGTACAATCTATTATATAAGTCTATGATTAATCGCAATATTTTATGATAAATAATGCAAAAATTATAAACAAAATTGAGATATCATTTTTGTGAAAAATCAATATTCATGAAAAGATGAAAATATGAAAGTGATACAAAAATTATATAAATTATATGAATGCGAAGATAATATGTATTACAAGGAAGAGATTAATACGCGTAATGATTAAATTTTTGTATTAAAAGATAGTGTAATAAAGTTATAGCTACTTTTTAATATACCTCATAGTTCCATTTGTCTTGTTGTTGCGAGTTAGTTACTTCAGTCTGATCAGTTAAGCCTGGTGCAGACTGTTGCTGCCAATTAGACTGTACAGATTCGTTTCTTCCATAATTATTTTGATAATACGACTGCTGGTTCCAATAATCCTGTTGTTGCGACTGCTGATATTGAACAGATTCGTCTACGTTTCTCATATATTGCGCATTCGGATCGTATGTATCTTGAATGTTCGTGGGCAAAGATAATGGTTGCCAATCTGATTGCATTTCACTCGTGTTAACTTCCATCATCGACGTAGGCCCGTCATTGTAATCGGATTGAATAGTGTTCCATTGTTGTTGTGATGATAGCGGTGGTAGTTGCGATGGTTGCTGTTGCTGATGTTTTGCTTCATGAATTTCCTGATTTTCTATCATAGCATGAGAACCGTATGTTTCATTTTCGACAGCCTGTTCATCCTATAACAGAATTCTATTTAATATTTGCATTAACGTAAAATTAAATATCATTTCTCGTAAAAGAATCACATAATGACCTGATATTTTCCAACTATCTCCGCTAATCTGTTAAGCCACGTAACATTCGCAGCATCTTCGATAGCATCCTTATAGACTGGATCGTGATACTTGATTCGATCGCCTAATACATAAACCGCTTCGATGAAGGATTTCTTGTATTTCGATGGATCGTTCGCGATATTTATTGCAATCTGTTCGATATACAATAAAGCTTTTTCTATTAATCCACAATCCACCATCTTCACAGTTAGATCAAATTTGAATGTTTGAAGGTCTATTAATGTGAAATGCGGATCGCTAAGGTTCCGAGCGTATTCGTAAATTTCTGTTAACATGACAGCTTCCATAGTAAAGAATTCAGAATACGACTTGTTGTGATTAGCGCCGATCAACACGAGTTTAATTCCATTAGTTCCGTAAGCGCCGAAATCAATTTGCGCGAGTATATAACAAAAATGTGCGGCATGGATGTCGCCCCTCGCGAATAGTGTATCCCCGAGAGTCGTTATTGATCGGCGATTAACTTCTGGATTGGTCGACGTATTAGATATAATCATAGCTAGATGAGGCCGCCAATCGTCCCAGCGCGGATCCGCGACGCACTGCAGAAAAAAAGAAATGAATAATTAGTATCATGACGAAAAAGCGTGAATAATTTTATCATAAAACAAAAACATAATTTTTACCGTAACTATAGCAGGTATACGACCAGAATGCAGTTGATACAAGGTCTGCAGTGGATCGTGTGATGGCAGACTGTTTGCAAAACGAGTCATTACAGAAGCGTGCGTGCGTTTATCCAGTTTACTAGCCAGGAAGAGAGCGTGGCCCCAAAGTCCTTCACTCATCGCGTACTCTGTTACAGGTAAGTAAAAAGAAAAAATTAGTAGCATTTATAACGTTTATCGAGAAAAAAATAAAGCCTTTTTTATATACCTAATGCTTCTTGAACCCGTCCATAGAGTAACGTATCTCTGAATTCATCTGTTATTTGTTCTACGGTTTTTCGTTGTTTGGTTTCAGTTTTCTCGGATAACGCTGAAATATCCTGGGTACTTCCATCGCTGCCCGTTGCTCCAGAACGCTGCGATATTTGCGATTCTCTGCGTCCTATATCCTGAGATCTGATCTTGTTCGCGTCGTAAGGATAAGTATCCTTATTACGCAATAAGAGTCCAGCAATATCGACGCCAACAACGTTCTGAATAGCAAATTTAAGCGATATTAATTAATTTAAACAGTGTTTTAAACTATTTTTTTAATGAAAAAAAACTTACTCCATTTTGTTGAATTAACATAATCATCAGTTCGTATAGCAAGATGTATGAAGCGCGATCGATCATTTCTTCATTTATCACTGCTTTTTTAATTTTATTTTCGCAATATTCTATAATAGTCTTCTTATGCGTTACACCACTGTAACAAGTCGTTATATATATTATTTGTATTGAATTGTACTTTTTAATATATTGTACTTTTATATAATTTTACTTACTTAATTAGAGGTCCTGGATATAATCGTAAATCGCGTGCAATAGGATCATGCGAGAGTAAGCTATCTACGCGAAAAATGTCCACTTTAGCTCTTTCACCATCAGCTGGGTAACTTGGATGAACATGTATCAAAGATCCAATGGAAAAGCATCCTAAGAGAGAATAATTTTTTTAATTAACTTAATGATATTAAGCATTGATAAAAACACAAATGTAATTAATATCAGAAATTATACCATATGCATGAGACGTGGAATATTTAGTCGGTGTCAATCGAGCAGAAGTAATTATCGTATCTTCTAAGGACATATCACCTAATGTTCGTTTATCACCAGTAGTCCTGAAATAAACACGGTATATTCTTTCTTTTAATATAGAGAATCTTTAAAGAATTATGGAACATATAAACAATATATTATGAAGACACATAATTATGTACAAAATAAGCACTATTCCACTTCAATTTTGCAACAAATTTTATATAAGCAAAATTAAGCATTTTTTAAATAATTCTGCATATATTTCTATTACGTTGGAATTCCGTTTGTCTGCACTCTATTTATATACGAACTTGTAACTGAGCTCTCATTATCCGAAATGGCGCCATAGTTCGGATAATAAGAGTTCGACTTCAGTTTTCTGAAATCAACTGCTATTATCGGAACTAATAGGTACTGGTAGAGGAGAGAGCTAAATAAGCCTTTATTATCTGAATTATATACGGTTATCGAAACTATTCTATTCCTCGATAGAGATAAACGATATTTTACTATACTTTTGTACAGCTGCTGTCGTAACTATATAATATTTTATTGCATTAAATAATTGTTATGATAATATACGCTTGATATGAATTATTATACATATAATTATACATATTTTCTACACGCTACGTATATTTAACCAAAATTGTATATGCTATAATTGAAAATTTAAAATACTGGGACAGAATTCAATTTTAAAGAAATCTAGCTTAAACATTTCGAACCGAGAGAAGACTCCCGGTCTCACCTATTAAAATTGCGACAAACCGTACTGCGCTCCCGCAGATTTCCGGCCCATCCAAAATGTGGGATATACAATGCCTTGTTGGGTGAACGGAAACATGCACTTAGGATGGGAAAAAATCTGACATACAATGAATGTTATAAAATCTGAGATAAGAAACAAAACTGACTGTTTAAGAACTTTTTTAATTTTTCAAAAAGAAAATTTCAAAGCATACCTGTCGTCACAGGAGCTACGGCCAGAATGAACACTGGCTCTATCCTCTGGATAATTGCTGACTCCTCTGGCAATATGTTGTTGCTGATGCTGATTCGCATAATATTTATGATACCACTCGGAATAGGCAGCAGGATTCGTCCGACGTAGGTTTTCAAGATATGCATAATAATTGTTACCATAATGAGCACTATAATCATATCCACTGTATCCTGCACATTCACAATCGAATATAAATTTAATAACTGCTTTCACATAAAAGAATGTTATTTTTTAATATTCGAATTGTATATTGCATCACACGTACCATTGTATGCATAATAAGGGTCTCTCGCACGCATGTAGTATTCACGGTCTCTATCATTGTAAGAAGATCTACTTGAAGGCCTAGAACTGTAAAAGAGTAAATATGAATGTAAAATACAATAAATTAATATATTAATAAGTAATTAATATATTAATATTAATAAGTAAATTATTAAAAAAAAATAATAATAAATATACCTTCTTCCATAAGGATCATCGTAGTAGTCCCTTCTATACGGATCTCTAATATCGTAATCTTCGTATCTTCGTGATCGTCTATCGTCCCTTCTCCTTTCACGATCCATATATTCTCTATCTCTAGGATCTCTAGAATATCGTGCATCATAATCTCTTGGATCTCTGTCTCGACGACGTGGATCATCGCCTCTGTCTCTTCTGCGATCATCTGGTCTTCTCCTACTATCCCTTTCATCTAGATCTTCTTTTCCCCTGATTCTTCTATCTATATCGTCTCTACCATGTCGATCTAAGTCGTCGCGACTGTGATGCTTACGTTCGTCTTCCCGATACGGAATATCCCGTCGTTCGAAGTCGTCGCGGGCACTATACTGACGATCATTGTCGCCCGCGCGTCGTCGTTCGTAATAATAATCGTCCTCGTATTCGCGATCACGATCGTAGTACGCGTTCTTCCGGTCATATTCGTATCGTCGGCGATCAGGACTTGTTTCTCGTCGTCTCTCCCTACTTTCGTCCCGACTGTTGCGAGATCCCTCATCTTCTTCGTCTTCATAGGAATCCCGTCGATTCGAGGAGCTGGAGATGCCCTGGCTCTCGCTCTCCAAAGATGCGCCTACCGCTTCCTCACGTTTTCGCGATTCACTCGTCTGATCCTGCATCGCGGACATCGGTGGAGGAACCTCCGGAGGAGAGCCAGTAACAACTCTACCACCTGTTGTCCTGTCGTCCGACAACTGCGTGACGTCGTTGGAAGATGCTCCGCCTGGTATCAGTCTACGTTCCGCGTCTGTTTGCTGTGCAACTTCGTCGGGCTCGTTGCCTCTACCGAGCACTTCACGAGTCTCACTCGGCTCCATCATTATCTGCGACTGCAGCTGATATCTCTCTTCACCTGATGGATCATTTCGCGATGGAAGGGACTGTTGCGGCGGAAGAGAACGTTCTCTCCCCGAAGGATCATTCCGTCGTTCTAGCGTGTCCGTATCACCTCGTAATAACAAAGGAACATTTCTCTCTTGTCCCGGAAGAACGTCACGACGCTCCGCTCGATCAGGTATATTTCTAATTTGTATGCTTTGTTCCTGACCTGATGGATCGTTCCTCCTAGGATCGGACAGACGTTGCCCAGTCTGCACATGATGCTCCTGACCTGTAGGATCGTTCCTGCGTGGATCTATGGTACTCGATTGTCCCGGTACTTCGCGCAGGAAGGGAATATCGTTAGGCACTTCATCATTCTCATCATCCTGACTCGGTGGCGTTGATTCGTGTTCCTGATGTGAGTCCGTCAACTCGCCAGTCTCTAAAAACGTATTTCTATCGTTCGAAGCGAATTCGTAGTTATCCGGCATTTGTTCCGTCAAAGGTGGATGAGACCGAGTTTGCTGCTGCTGTTGCTGCATCGATAACACTTCGACGTTGTTCACCTCCTCCCTGAAATCCCGAATATTCGTCGCTTCTTTGGGACTCGTGCTCGGCTTGGGATCGTTGTCCAACGTTTCCTTGTTTATAGAATCTCGCGAACCATAGATATCGCGCTCCTTCAATGTTGCAGGCGCAACAACCTCGACATTTATAAAGTCGGATGATTGTTGGATGTTCTCGTAGTTCTCTACACTCTGCTCAGGAGTGTTCCACTGTTTGGGAGGTGGACGTGAGTGATCCTTCGCATACCATGCATTCTCCAACGTATTTTGATTGTACCATTGATCATAATTGCTTTGCGAGATACTATCTACTATTTTAGTAGCACCACTTTGATATGTATTCGATATTTGAGGATCTTGACCGACAATTGGTTGGCTATCGACAGAATGAGAATTCTCTATACCGCTTGACGCGTAATCCGGAGGTAGCACGGACATATTATCGGGAACAGAATTGCCTCGGATACTCGCAACGTTGAAATTAGGAGGATGTTGAGCTCTCTCTTCTTGGAGAACGGGGCTCGAATGTACCTCTAATGATTCACCTAAAAGATCCACGTGTTTTCCCGACTTGCCGCTAAGATTGAGATGACCAAAACTGCTGGTTAATTCCTCTGCCGCTGTAGAACCAAAAGAACGGTCATCCTTTTCACTAAGAACGGTTTTAGAAAGATCATTTTTCGGTGCATCATCAGTCAGTATGTTTAAATTATGATCTCCAATCGATGATTTAATATCGCTCGATTTTGCGTAACTGATTGAATCGTGAGGCGACACAGTAGTTGCGATAGAAGCTGCTACTGCTGCTTGCTTCTCGTTCTCTTGTTCATTATTATTGGGTGTATGTACAATATTTTCTACGCTTGTAGGCACAGTTGTAGATGCTGGAGCATATTGGAATGGCGCCATGTGCACTTGTTGCCATTCGTTAACAGCAAACCTAACGCTGTTATTATTCTGTGATACGTTCTGCGCGAACGAACTGTTATCCGCATTCGTTGGCTGTAACCATTGCGTAGAATGTACAGATTCGTTTTGCATGTTAGAATGTCTCCAATCGTGCGAGGCACTGATGTTGCCCGACTGTGGCCAAGAAGCAAATGTGTCATCTACGTTATTTGTTTGCATTAAATGCGCAGATTGATGTTGGGACTCGCGACTTTGATTATGCCACTGATTTGATACGATATTAGACTTATTATTCGCTTCGTTACTCTGTTGCTCATTGGTAGACCAGTTCATGGAATGTTCCTTATTGACCCCCTCAATAGGCGCATTGTATATTTGCGATGGTTGCGCACACTGATTGCCCATATTGTCGACTGTTGGCTGTTGCATTTCCTGCGACATGTTTTGATCCTGCCACTGACCTAACGTATCGGTATGATTCTGCCAATTACGTTGTAATGATAAGTTTGTTGTGTCGTCTTTGCTCCAGTTATAACTGTTATGCGTCGCCATCGGTGGTGGATGTGTTGATGGTGGGTGTGTCGATGGTGGATGTAATGGTGGTTGATCCTTCTGGCTCTGTTGCGGCACGAGTCTTTGCTGAGTATAAGTTGCATTTGACGACTGATGCTCATTCGGCCATTGAGCATGCTCATAACTGGATTTCGCGTTGTTTTGTCGAGGCGGCAACGAATACTGCTGATTTTGATTATAGTTTGCGTAGGGCGGGAAAGAATCCGTGTAATTCGACCCAGTCTGACGAGCAGATTCCGATCTGGGAGTATTTCTGCCTGATATAGAGTTCTGGTTAAGTACATCGGATGTATTACCATTGAGATTTTTGTAATAATTGTTTTGCACAGAACCAGATATCAGCTGTCCTTGATTCTGATACGAGGGTATGTAATGCTGTTGCTGTGATGGTGGTTGCTGCGGTGGTGATTGCTGCTGCTGAGTATCCGACTGTTGGTCCAGATTCCAATCCCAGGGATCCTTCCATGTATCGCTCGCATGTTTTGATTCGTTCACAAGAGATTGCTGAGTGGTATCATTCGGCGGGACATCCGATTGAGGCCCAGACATGGGCATCCACATATTTTGGTTGTGTATTCCATATGTAGCTGAATGATCCACCCGAGATCTGGCGGGTCTAGCTCGATAAGGATTCTACAATTGCAATTAAATTATTTTTAACATCTAAGTCACTTATTCTGTTACTACAACTCATGACTTCTAAAGCATCCAATGTATACTTACGTTCATGCTGCCTGCAGGACTTTGCAGCAATCTTTAAGATCTGTAATAAATATAAACGATACAAAATAGAACACACATGGCATATCTCGAATAAAGATTCAATGGAGACAGCAAGGATTAAGTAGAAATCGCAAAAGTATGCTCTCTACATTCTTTGGAGAGTAAAAATTTAATCAGTCTTAAAAAAAAATAACTCAATCTTCAAAAATAACTCAATTAATAAAATTTTAAGAGTAAGATTTTACTCTTCACAGCGAGATTCACTCTTAAAAGTTTCAGAGTGACAAAATGTCTTCATATTATTCTATCATGCATATTCAGTGTACATACGCCACTTTTACACGATTGGTAATAAATCAAGAATAATTTTTACTGTCATATAACTACTTGAAGAAAAAAAGTTTATCGTCAAAACATTAATTTTTAACATGTCAAACCCCATTCGCGATCTGAGAAAAATGCTTGTCATTGCGACACTGACAGCCTTAGTACACAGATGTGAATTATAAATAGGTCATTAGCCACAAGTTTTCGTGGTACTGGATAATATCCGAAGACTTTTCAGCACGTTGTATCATCGAAGGAAGAAAAGGAAAACGAATGCGCGACGAAAACGATCCCAAGTAAACGTAACAAGATTGTTCCGTAAACTCTGACGAGCGAAAGGAGGGCTTTCGGCCATCCGAAAGCATAAGGAGCCCCACCAACCGAATCTCAGCCCCGATGGTGCGGAGGCGCTCGGTTTAACGTAATTATGTAATCGCGGACGTGGCAAGGTGCCTTCCTGGCCGTCGCCGTCCGGGGAACACGGCGAGATCGTAGGGTTCAGGCGACCAGCTGTGAGAGTCGACGGTGCTCGACGGCGCTCGACGGCGCGGGGAGAGTCGACGTTCGCGTACGCGTTCACTCACCTAAGCTATCGTCGCTCACGTTGCCGTTTCCACGCGTCCGGTATGCGCATTATTGGCCGTTGCCGCTATCAGTCACTTCTGCGGGTTTCTTCCCACGGCGGAGCAAACGTCCTCGTCCTCGTCCTCGTCCTCGTCGTCGAGGTCGATGTCGATAGCCGCGCGCGGACACTCAATTGACTCGATCGACTCAATCTTAGAAGTACGCGGACATTTCGACGTACGCGAGAAAGTAAGATAGACTCACAGAAAGAGAGAGAGAGAGAGAGAGGACACGCGAGAGAGAGGCAAACACGACTCGCAGCCGAGCACGTCACGGAATCCTTTCTCTCCCCCGACTCCCCGACTCCCTTCCGTTCAACCACGGCAACTTTCCACGCGAGCGGAACCGGGACGAACGTCAAAAGCCGAAGCCGGAAGCCGAGCGTCGCGCCACGCCGATTGCGCGCGCGAGATGGCGGCCGCCGGTCGATTCGAACGCGGCACACCAACGGTATATTTTTCAATTAGAAAATTCCTTTTATTTCCTCAGGTAGGAAGACGAATTCTCACGATTACGCGACAGCAGCGGGCAATCGTTGCGCCTCGAAAACGCGCGCTTCGACGTTTCCTCGCGACTCGCGGCGAGTTAAATTTCCTGCGCGAGACGAGTGCGCGAACGTCGCGTGCACGCGCACTCGCACACGTCGTAGATCCGTTTTCTGTAAGCTAAGGGTACACTTTTGGAACTTAAAGTAGAATAGATATGTGTTTGATATTTGGCGAAAGCGAGAAAAAGAATTCCAGTGCGGTTTGGAGTGCAGGAATAAAAAACGGGATCCGTGTATTTGATCTCTTCGCGATGCGCTCATCGACGACGCCGACTCTTACGTCGGCTACCGGTGGTAACGCAAAGCGTACGGTGCCCACTCGCACTCGGCGGATAAGCGATCGTTGGCCGAGCGATCGGCGCGCAGATCGACCGGATCGACTGACGTGGTGGGTCGGGAGTGGACGCGCGGCGGCCACATCGGCGACCAGTTACGCGCGAATGGTCTTTGGACGTTGAAGTCGCGGAGCAGCGCGACGATTGTGCGATTAATTCTTCTCCTCACTCATTCCAGACGAGATCGGTGAATAGATCCTCAATAAGATGGTCCTGTTTACGATAATCGCAAGGGTGACAGACGGCCTGCCACTGGCGGCCACCATGCAAGACAACGAGCAGGTTAGACGTATGCTATGATGAAACGTCACCTCCTTCTTGCAATTAGTCGTCACACTTTACTTCTGCAATTAACTCGATGCGTCGACGGAAGTCTTATTACTGACATTATGGAAGAAGGGATCATGAAATTTATTTGTTAAAGTAACTGTCTATTTCCACCAATGTAATTAACTTTAATTTTGCTCCAACTTACTTTTTATCTTTTTTTTTTAAATTTTTATATCTAAAAAAAGACGAAGAATAAAATTGAACAGAGATTCGTGAGAAATCTACATTGGTGGAAATGGCAGAAAAGTTTAAATTTTTGGAGCAAATCAATATTTAGACTGGCATCTGTATACTTATATTTTTTATTAGACTTATTTATGTTTATATATATTTATATAATTTATTTATGTATCTTTATATATTTTATTTTATATTTTATTAAACTTATGGAAGTTACGTTCTGTTTTATGCCATAGGATGGTAAGAATATTGTGGAATATCAAAATCAAGCAAAGATGCTATTTAGAAAGCTAGGTCCACAATCTCCGACAAAGTGTACCCTCGAAACTGGACCATATCTTTTCCAGTAAGTAACAATTTAGCTGTGTTTGAATTCTCCATCTGAGTGTCCCACTGTATCATATTCTTATTAATTGACTATTAAAGTGAAATAAAATGTAACTTTGTCATGTTGTAATAAAAATTAAAAAATCAAAATGATACATTGGGTAACTCAAGTAGAGAATCTAAACATGTATTTGCAGGTTTGATCTATGTATTTTGAAACAGTTATATATTGTACTTTGTTTATAGTTATTTAATCGAAAATGAGGTGTGTTATCTGGTACTATGCGAAAGGAATTACAGCACACGCATAGCTTACAGTTATCTGGAAGATATAGCACAAGAGTTTCATTCTCAGTATGGAAAACGTGTAAATACAGTGACCAGGCCTTATACCTTTATTGAATTTGGTACGCTATAGATGAGTGTGAATGTTAACATCTTATTGAATATATCGCATTGGCTTTACATTGTTTGTTTCTCAGATACATACATTCAGAAAGCCAAGAAGATCTTTATGGACAGTAGATCTCGCAGAAACTTGAATACGCTTAACAGCCAGTTGCAAGATGTGCAAAGAATCATGGTACAAAATATCGATGATGTTTTACAAAGGGGTACTGTACTTTCAGGTAATGTAGAACTGTTCTGTTTGTGTAAAAAGCTAGAAATATAGAAATATACTAAAATATTATTTGTATTTTGCAGAATTGGATTCAAAGACCCAAAACTTGTCTATGTTGTCACAAAAGTATAAAAAAGACGCAAGACATCTAAACAGCAAATCGATGTACGTGAAAGCTGTTGCAGGTCTTGTTGCATTTTTGGTGTTTTTGTTATATTTCTTCATTCTTTAGTTAAACACGAATAAAAAACTTCAATATTATACGTCAAAAGTATTCCACTTTCAAGGATAGAATATTTTTGTTTATCTCTCTCATAATTGCGAAGTATTTGTGTGATTCCAACATCCATTTATATTTATAGAAGTGGAAAATGAAAACTTTCACACATACAAGATATAAAAATTGCAAAAATGTCATTGTAATTGTATTGATATATTTAAACCGATCCATGTAAAAATTATGTTTATAAAAAAATAGTATATAACAAAATATTTAATAATTTTTTAGCGTTGCTCAGTGACAAAATTTTTTGTTACATGAATGATGAAATGAATAGGTATGGTTTTTTATTATAATATTTTTATTGATTCGTTCTAATAATCTTGTGGAAGGGATTTAGTAATTTCTATATAAAAACTATATATCATTTTAAAAACATATTGTAACAAATATTTGTGTGATTTATTTATTTTCGTAGTTTGTTGTAATAATGAAAAATAAATTATCTCTACAATATCAACTGAAATAAAAATTTTTTTTAGTAGAGATATGAATTTTTTTCACTGATAAAAGATTGTATTTATCTCTCATTCCTTATACTTATGGATTTTATTTATCATATCTTTATTGAATCATACATTTTGTAAAGTCCCGAATTAGTATAAATTTAAAAAGATATATTTATTATTTGAGTGCGGTTGTATTTTTGGGTGGTGTGCAGATATATGTATCATCAGTATACGTGAAAAAGAACCAATTAAGGAAAAAATGTATTATAGACGATCATACACGTCATTAATGTTGCTACATTTGTATTTCATCTGTATTAAAACTATAATGTATTTACAATAAAAATATCCATATATAAGTCAATATTTATAATGGACGTAATTTTTACATTTTTATTAACTCTTCGTAATTTGGTATATTAAGCGATCTTTTCTTCTTTTTTACTTTATTGTCCGTATTCTCACCATCAGAATCTGAAAAATTATTGAAGAAATAGTTTACTGGTTCATCTTTTTTGTTATCATTGGGCCTGTTATTGTTGTATCTTTTCTTTGCTCCATAACTTGTACACTCTGCATCACTCATTTCTTCATCTAGAAAATAATATGTGTATAATGTACTGATTTAAATGACAATATTATAATTGATAAATTGTAATGGTTGTTGCAATGGATAATATTTACCAGTATCTATGATATCATACATATTCGAGTGATCTTTCATAACAACATGTAATGTCGGAAATTCCACTATAGTCTTATTCTCCAAATTTTCTTGCAACGTAAGTGTAAGATCCAAATCATAAAACCTAAAAATAATAATTATAATCAATTGCTTTAATTACAAGACTAGAAAATAAAGAAACATTTACCTGAACTGTGCCTTCTTTATTTTCTCGGCTTTTAAAAGAACTTTGATATTAGTTAACCCAGCTGCTCTATAAAACTGTAATTTATCAGCTAAAAATAATTTTGTGTTCAATTTTTCGATGTCAATCTCATCTGTTGCAGAGACTGGATCTAAAACCTGTTCCACCAATTTTGATAATCTTACGCTGTCTAGAGTTCTATAATAAACATAATAATGTATTATTCACTTCTTAAAAACTATTTATCAACTTTCAGAAATGACACATATATTTATATACCTGTCTATTGTGTACTTTATGTTTTCAGCTTGTGGAAAAATCCATTCTAGACGCCAGAATAGCTCGTTGGTCTTCCAGTTAAGATATGTAGTGTTCTCCTTGTGTCGACTAAAAACTTGTGGCATATAAAACAGTGACACTTTTCTACAGGACGCTGCGCATCTCAATTTATGTAAGTGCTATAAGAGAAGACATTGTGACTTTATGGCACTTTTAAAAAATATATGCAAAAAAGAGAGAATATCATACCACTGGTAGAATGCCTTGACGAGTGTATTTTATCTCTGGATTTCTCTTCTTTGTATCAATTGATCTGCCAACTTGCTCGAGAAAGCGATAGTCTGGAAAATATCAAGTATTTTCAATTTTAAGATATCTCAGGCAATTTAAATGAAGAAAGGAATCTGTTCTCTTACCGCTTAGTAAATCCAAGTCAGTAAACGACGCTAAAGAGACAAACTTGGTCGGATCCCGGATTCCATCACATTCTAGCTCCTTCTTGTGAACATTCACGCACGTGAGAGAGCATGTTCTAACCTCACATTTCGGGCAAGTGTATCGCGCTTTAGCCGCGCCGCATACCTCGCAATTCTCCAATCTGTATATAAAGATAGAAATAAATTAACTGTCGCGATAAACAGTGTCGCGAGAAATTTCTATCGGTTTTTACATTTATATATTCCTTGGGAATCCTATATACTTACTTGTTCTTGGTGGCTGCCATCTTACTTTTGCCTCCTGTACGTGTGTATTTATGTATATGATTTTATACGTGCGGTGTGGGGTTGCGCGTATACGTGATAACAGCTGTTTTGTACATTTGATTTTCGTCAGGGCGAATATATTATTAAATAATAATCGTCTTGAGTTCAAGTTCAAAATAATTTTTATTTATTCTCTTTTTTCTTCTCTGCATATATACAATATCCTTTACAATTACAATATCTGCTAGGTGGCAACTTTTACCACCAACGAGGGATTATTACAAAAATACGACCAGTTCTGAATAAATCGTGACTATTAAGGGTATGTTCTAAAACTTAACTCTGTCAACTCTGAATATCTTTTATTCTTGTTCAGCGTTTGGTGAACGAGGATAAAATAATAAGTACCCAAATTGATCAAGTTTTGTAATCCAGTGAGTCCCGAAGGAAAAAGCGGGAAGCACAGACTTTTGTATAATGCATGACACATGAGGCATAAGAAAATGAACCAATCAAAGTGCTTTATTTCCTTTCCGTGAAATAAAGGACTCTGATTGGTTGATTTTCTTATGCCTCATGTTTTATGCGTTATGTAAGAGTCTGTGCTCCCTACTTGAGTGTATGAAGAACGATAACACTACCGACTATTTATTATTTAGATGTATTGATCTATTAGACCCATTGTCAGATTGCTCAGCAATAAAAAATTCAAATAAGACATCTTAAAAATATCTTCTAGATTATTTTAGACGTCTTTAAAGCCTAATATACAATGTGCTTTTTGTTTCCTCTTTCTCGTAAAAATGTTTCATATATAATTATATATAAAATTATATATAACATATATAACATTCATACATATAACATTTTTTCCTCGGTTGCTTTTTATTTATCTTGCCTTTTTGCCTCTTATCCAATTTTTTGTTTTTCTTTCGTTCGAAATAAAAAATGATGGACTTCGAAAGAGACAAGCAACACGTGAAAAGAAACGCGATTGTCAATAAAACGGTCGTAAAGAAGAAAAAAAGGCATGAGGAAAAAAACGAGAAATAGAAAGCAAAGAACACGTTATAGACCAATAGCACAGGTGTTCAAGATAGGAATGTTTTAAAGAGCATTCTGAAAATGTCTCACAATATTCTGAGAATGTTAACAGGAACATCTCTGGGATAAAGTATACTGTACGAATAAACTTACGACTTTTTAAAAAAATGTTTTTAAATGTTTTTAAGGTGTTCTTATGATTCGTTTTTGAATATATTGTTTGGGGAGGATAACATTAAAAATCTGTCCTTAAAAATCACGTTTGTTATCCTCAGTACAGCCAAAATAGTTGATGTCATCGCTCTGTAATTGCAGACGGTCTCTCTTTGGATACATTTTATAGTCACGAAAAATCTTTGGCCGGTCATCTTTAATAAGGTCTCGTCAATGCTTTTACTGAAGCATTCTAGTCCTCTTAAAAATAAATATTAATTATTTTCACAATTTTTAACTTGAAAGATTAATATATCTATCTATTAGTATGAAAATCAATGTGAGAAGCATTTACAATATTTATCGTAACTGAAACAATTGACGGTATATCTTGGTTTATTTATGGAACTAATTATAATTTATCTCATAACGGAATAACACACAAACTATTCACAATAAACACATGCGTTGTGCGAGTTGACTGCTCGTATGTATCTATATGAGCTGTTAAAAAGGAAAGGAAAAAAAAGGAAATGTATAACAAGAGTTCAATGTGATGCGTATATGTTATGCTTTCGCGAATAAAGTAATCTTAACAGCTTAATTCGTGATGAAAATGATTGCAATCTAAAAATATCTTCGTTGCACATTGCGTCCCTTATTTTGTGACTATAGGACACATAAGTACGATAACAGTAACATCTTATTACGATAGTGCCTTGCACTGTGTGCAGTTCTCCATTCGTTCGTTGAATTCCTCTATTTGCAATGTCATCTCGAAGAATTTGTATTTATCGTGGATATTTCGCGTAGCGGTGCATAAAATGTTCTGGGGGCTTGATCCAGGTTCTGCGAATGAAAATATCGCATTGTTTCAATAAAAAATAAATATCGCGAAATAATAAATAGATAATAAGATAATAATAATAGAAATAGAAATAGAAAACATGATTTTATATATAATAAAATTTAGAAGTCTAAAGATGAACGATGAAATGCAAGAATTTATACAGTTTGAATCGAGAAATATATATATAATGAGGATAATGCTAAAAAAAAAAGGATCTAGCACATGTGCAAGAATTTGAGAATCTATAAATACAAGCATATTTTGTGACAGCGTACATTCTTTTAAGACTTTAGTTTCGTTGCATAACTAAAATGTGTAAATATAAGAAGTGCACATGTTGAATTGTATTTTTGGGTGTACGTACTTATAGCAAGATGCGCTGACAGAGCAGTCTTGTCGAGTGAAAGCGCCCAGATTCTAAGATTGTGCACCTTAACGACTCCATCTATTTGCATAAAGGTGTTCTCCACGTGCGAATAGTCAAAACCCTTAGGAATACCTTCCATCAAGACATTGATTACATCTTTAATAATTGCCACTGTAGTGAGAATAACTAATATCGAGAAGAGGAATGTACATATTGGATCCACCAAGCTCCAACTTGGCTGAAATATTAATCGATTATTAGTCATGCTTTATGTTTTCGATAGATAAGCCTGTTTGTTCATTGAGTCACAAAACTTCTATAAAAGATAAATATATGAAGAATGCAAGAATGATAACTTTTCGAAGCTTTATTTTTATTTCATAAGACATGATAAAAGTATGTAAAAATAAACGTTGATAAATTACTAATAAAAGTTTGAAGATACCTTAAAATAAATGACTAATGCGGCGACGAATACTCCCACACTCTGAATAAAATCACCCAAAACGTGAATGAATGCGGCGCGCACATTGATATTCCTTTTTGATTGCTCGCCTTTGAGATCATCATCATGCCCATTTTCCACATCATTGTGATTGTGCCCACCGTGACTGTGTCCGCCATGACTGTGGCCGTGCTGATGCAACGACAGGCCCATTCTATAATATCACATATATATAATGCATATATTTCTCTCTACATTAAAGCAATTAAGTAAAGACGCTAATTCTGGAAATTTTGTTAAAGTATAAACTAGTTTATATCTACAATTTTGAGCTAATTTTTTTATTTAAATTAAATAAAGTTCAAATTAGGCCATTCATGTAATTTAATTCATTCTCAAAATATTTCTCATTTCGCACATTTAAATTAATTCATATATTATTCGCGATTGTAGTATATATGCAACGAGGAAATGCGTCCCAAGTAACACACTCTGGCTATAAAAAAATAAAAAAATAAATAAAAATGTAGCATCAGGTATTTTAGCTGTGCATTATAATAGTAGTACAGTAACTATGACAATTAAAAAGTCAAAATGTACAGTTATTTTATCTGTAATGATGATAGCTGTAAAGTGACTTTACATTATTAGAAAAACCAAAATTAATCGGCCTCAGCCCTTTTGCTACTTTTAAAGTTAGAAAGTGAATAGCTAACAAGTCTTCAAGATGAAAAGAAATTTGTAAAAGTTTGAAAAATTTGGCTGTAATTTATATGTCATCGAAAGTAAAGAGCAACGTGATTATATATTATCAATGTTATACTTAGCACATATCATAGCAAAAAATTGACTATGCGTTCATTTATGTGGGTCTAAAATTAATTAGTACTTATAAGATTCGTAGTTCTGTAATCAATATATTTATGAATGTTTGTTCGCGCTAGTATACTTATATATGTACTTTATAAATTGTAATAATTGTAATGATTAATTAATGTTTAAATTTGATCTTAGTGAAACGAAATTGCCAGAGATTCAAGTTAAAGTAAAAAATAAATTTTTTTAATTCTCTTTTTACAAATTAAAAAATTAAAATTATAGATTAATTTTTATTGATTTTATTAATTTACATACAAAAATCATTCTCCTTTATTAGTTTGTTTATCTTTATTTCCGACTGCTGTAATATGAGACTATCTTTTTACAACAAAATAGTTATATAGTCAAATGGCTGCGACATCGTTTTCAAAGTCTAAAAATGTTAGCCAATTTTTGCTTTTACAACTTTGTCGAAATGCTCTAATGATATTGTGACGATAGCTCTATTACATGTTGCAGTTTAAGCAACGTTATCGCAGACATTTTAAAGCTAAACATGCAACAACCTCTTTATATATAATAGCAGAATAGTTAAACATCCAAATGGCGTTTTTGCTACTACAATTTCCAAAACGTCACAATGACGTTATGGCAATATCTGTGACAAAAATTTAAACTGCGACAACGTTATCATAGTTTTGAAAATTCATGTGTTACTTGGTTTACCAGTTAATGTTACCCCTGGTGAAAATTTTTCTCAAAATTTTTCATATAATTTTTCAGAATTTTTATATAATTTTATAACTTTTTCACATTTTTTTATATGAAATGGAACATTTCTCAGAAAATCTACGTCTTTTCTCAGAATTTTTCAAAATATATGTTAATTATAAAATATAAAATATAATTATAAAATAATATAAAATATAAGATTTCTAAGATTTTTTGTAAATATAATTTCTGATAAAATGTTATAAAATGTAAAAAATTAAAAAATATTTTTTTCTAATTACGGGATGAGAAACTTCAAAATATTTCAGAATTCACTTGTGTGAAAAATTCTGAAATAAGATGTAAACTTTCCAAATATTTCTGAATATGTCTGAAAAATGTTCCAATTCGTATAAAAATTGTGAGAAAAATTTTTTGCCAGAAACATTAAGTACATTGTACTTTCCATTGTTATAAGAATAATCGTACGGTATTATGTTTCCATGCATGAATCGCCGTTGGGTTATATAGAAGATTAAATAAATATTGTCTTTAATGATATCACTAACACTAGATTTACCGCAACACCAACTGCAGACGTGATCAACATCACCGTTGCATCCAATTCAAAGTCCTTATGAACAATTCTTTCTATCGCGAGGTAGAATAAAATACCGGTAACTACCCATATTAA